GAGTTCTCCGAGTAAATGATTAATATAAATTTAATATAAAGTATATCGATTTGGAGTGAAATCATCATAACTTGATATTGATGTGTTAATAAATTGTTAATAAATAAGTCTTATGCCTCGTTTACAGTGAACTAAGAAAATAGTGCGACATCATATCACGCTACTTAAATCGAATTGTAAAAATATATCTCGTTAAATTATAAAGCTATGCTAGTGTTTAGCTATTTAACATCGCTTAGCGTAACCATCATCGCGGTCACTATAAATGGGGCCTTACACTGCATTTAGAGTAAGCGCGATTTTCGCTACGTAATTTTACATAATTAAGCTATTAATTAATATAATTTTTAATAGCGTAAAAAACATATGTTGCGATTCGATTACGATTAATTTCGCATTGCCTGACCATATCGCGCTTACTATAAATGCAGTGCAGCATTAGGGGGACTTTATTTTAAATTTGATGAGAGTATATATGTTAGAGGTAATGTGTTTTTTCCGGCAATGTGTTATTTTTTCAGCTTTAAATCATTTTTTGAGCACGTTTTATTAAATTTAAGATGATTTTACCGGAAATGTATGCCATCATGTTTGGAATAACCTACCCTATGAATTTTAGATAATTTTATCATAAAATTTCTAACTTAATTTAATTAAAATTCGTTTTACCATAGATTTTTGACATAGATTATAAATGACTTGAAAATTAACGGTAAAATTACCTACAATTCCTAATATAGGTATTTTAAACATGCTGGAATAAATTTTTGGCAAACTTGTATTTTTAAATTTTAAAAACGCACTCAAAAAATGAAATAAAGTTGTAAAAATAATATATTGCCGGAAAAAAAAACACATTACAGCTATCAATTTAAAATGGATTATAAACTATTAAATCAATATATTTAATTTAGCTATAATGATTATTTTTTTTCTTTTGTAACTCTGGTATATAAGAACGATTCACACATTTTTTTTTCTTCAAAAAATGATACTTTTCAAAATATTTGAAATCTATTTCCTATTTATTTTAAACGCCTTTATTTGAATTCTCTATTACGGGATTGCGCTCTAAATTCTAAAATACAGTGTTGTGCAGATTTAATTTCCATATTTTTTTATTCATTATAAATAAAATTATTTAATTTGTTGATAAGAATATATAAATATACTAGTAGATAACTCCAAAAATGATGGGGAATGATAATTTTCTTCTTACTTTTATGATATTGTTACCTGTTATTTGAAAATAATATCCAATTTTTATTTTTTTTACCCATTCCCCCTTCAGGCCAGGTTCAATCCATTAAAACTAAGTGTAAATACTATGTTTTGAGTAAAAATAAATTTAAAGCTTTTACTTGATAATACCAATATTATTTGTAAAATATTACTGATTACTTATACCTAACTAGCCGGGGAGGGGGGGGGGCAAGGAGAAATCCCCCCCCCTTCAGAAATTTATCACTTTTTATGAATATCATTTTAAGCTAATAAGAAATATCCCCCTTAGTCCTCTCTACTCCCTGACCCCCAAAAATGTATGCAAATATTTTAAACAATAATTTGAAAGAAAGAATGTAAAAGTTGATATTTTTTTATAAAACTATTCATCATAATTTATACATTTTTGGAAAAAAGCATTTATATATAAAAAAAGTGAATCATAAATGCTTTTTAAGAAATGGAATATAAGCCAAAGATAAGTCTTAAGACAAAAGTGAAATGTATTATAATTATTAATAATAGATCCATAAAATTACTAAATAATATAATATATCAAATATTATTTTTTATAAAGTGAGTAATTTTAATTTATTTATCTTAATAAAAGTAAAATATAATTATAAAACTATTGAATTAAATCATAAATTAAATAAAAAAATTAAAGCACAATACAAACAGTGGAATATTATATGTCGTAGATTTACAGTATATCTAATTTTATCAATTATCATATGACAATCAAGTAATTTTTACCAATATAGCGAATTATATATTTTACATATAAAATATTGATAAGGACATCAGAAAATATCTTTTAAAGTGGGATGAATAAAATAAAGATTAATTTTTAATATCATTTTTAATTTAAAATAAATAGATGGCGTTAAATAATTGAATGCAAATTGTTGCTATATTTATTATCAAGAGCCTTGATTAGTAAAATTTGTTAAAATATTAATTGTAATAGGTCAAATATGTCTGTAAGTGGAATTTTACCTATTATTTTGTAACTAATTCTATATAATAGAGAAATATCAACTATACGTTTACTTACTTTTTATAAATAAACTCCTTATACTTGTTTGGAATAAGTGATTACCATGCTTTTGTATTAATGTATATACAAGTAATTTATTATATTTTATATAAACTTTTAAAAATATATTTCATATCTGTTCTAGGCTTATTTTTTTTATTAAAATTAACCTCCTATCTTGTAAAAATATTTTATGACTATATATAGACTAAAGTAACCCGGCCGAAGGACGGGGAAAAGCGGGCAGAAGCCCCGCCCAAAATGGGGTCTGGGGGCGAAGCCATAACTATTTTTTTAATTCCCCTCCCCTTAAGAAAATTCTGGCTACGCCTATGATACCTAATATTTAATATTAAAAAAAATTCCCATGCAAAGTACAATGCCATAATAATTTTAAAAAATTCTTCCAAGCCCAATGAAAGATGATAATAATTTTGGTAGTTGAGAACTAAAATAAAATATTTAAATAATCATAATGAATTTAAAAATACAATCAAAATTCAGATTTTCATGGGCCTTGGTTTTTTGATCAGGCCGAGTCCAGGCATGCAAAAAAATTTGTTTTAGGCCAATATCTGACCCATAGTTAATAATAAAAAAATTCTCAAGCGCCCAAGCTCATAATAATTTTAAAACTATTTCCCCAAACCCAGCCCAATATAATTTATAAAAATATTTTCCAAGCCCAGCCCAACCTATAATAATTTTATAAAAAAATATTCTCAAGCCTGGCCAACCCATAGTAATTTTCAAAATTTTTCCTTAAACCTGGAAGGTAAATCTCTAAAAACCATATCTATTTTTTATTCTATTTTAACCCAGCTCACCCCTACTTTAGACAAAGGCCAACCCATTAAGACTAAGAGTGAATACTATTTTTTTGAATAAAAATATATTTAAATTAGGTTTTACCTGAGGGCCATATAAATATCCTGTGGTAAATATTATACCTATGCCTAATATTAAAAAAATTCCCAAGCCAGGTCCATACACTTGCGAAAATTTTCTCAAACCCACCAAAGACCATAATAATTTTGATAGTTGAGAACTGAAATAAAATATATTAAAAGTCACAATGCATTTATAAATACAATCAGAATATGAAAGTTGTATGGGCCTTGGTTTTTGAACCGGCCTGGCCATGTCTTCAAAAGAAATTTTCAGGCCAATTTCTAGCCCATATTTAAAATTAAAAATTTTTCAGAAATCTAAGACTATATTAATTTTGAAAAATGTTTCTCAAGCTACGTCCAAGTCCATATTATTTGTGAAAAATATTTTCCAGGCCCAGGATAACCCAGAATAATTTATTTTTATCTTGGATCCAGAAAAATAGGTCTGATGTAAGGGTTTATATAAAGTAAATCTTTCTAATATGTACATACTTTATTTTGCCATTGGGAAAAATTTTCAAAATTATCATCAAATGAAGCCGAAATATCTGATTTACCTATCATTCTACTTGTTAGCTCTTGGTATTTATATGAAATTCATGAATACATATTAAAGTACCAAGCTGAAAATATGTTTATCCTAATTTAATTTTAAACAAACCACCACCCTTCCAAATGATTTATTACTTAGTTACAAAATATAAAATTAAATTTAAAACATAAGATATTCTAAGTTAACAAATAATAGGAGGTTAACTTCAATCATAATTAAATTATATATATGTAAAACAAAAAGCTTATACATTTAATCAAAAATGTTATAATAAATTATGAATAACATACATTTTACAATTATGAAGTTATGAGGAAATATACAACACTATGGAATGCATGTAGAAAGGCCGAATTTTCAGAAAAGATAAAAGAGATGCAAATATTTACTTATGCACAAAAATTACCTAATTTTGCAGGACTATTTTTTTTATGTGCTTACCATCTAATGAGCCAAGGCAGTTTGGAAATCCATGTTTCTCAAAATATAAAATGTTTTATTTTCTCACTCTAAAATAAATTAAAAATTATTTATTAATATTAAAAATTTACTTTGATATAAACTACTATTTCTGAAAGTGCCATCATCACATCTATATATATATAACTTTATTAATTGAAAAAAATTGCAGATTTTGCAGGACTTTTGATTTTTATGTGCTTACCATATAATGAGCCAAGGCAGTTTGGAAAATCTGTTTCTCAAAATATAAAATATTTGATTTTCTAATTCTAAAATAATTAAAAAATATTTATTAATATTAAAAATTTACTTTGATATATAAACTGCTATTTCTAAAAGTGCCATCATCACATATCAGCTAAACCAAGCCCAAGATTGAAGAAATTCTCCATATTACAAATCACATGGGAATTACTATTGGCTTAAAATTGCTATGATGATTATCATTGGACAAATATTTGTTAAAGAAACACTATGTTAAATTTGATTGACATTTTTTGAGGATTATTAATAATAGATTATTTTAACAATTTTTTGCAAGTCAAATAATTTTATTTTCAAATAAATTTAAAAATATGGAAATGTTTTAAATTTAATTTGCACAACACTGTAAATACAAAAAAAAACATCTAAAAAAGATGAAGCAACCCCGATAATGCATTTTATTTAGCCATAATAAAATATGTAGTGTGTTACATATGCAAAATATAAAAAAAAATTAAAGTAAGTTCTAAGCATAAACCTTAAATATGCATATTTTTTCTAAACATTGACTTCATACATAATCAATTAAGTTACTATATTTAAAATGTCCGAAATTTTTTTTTAGAAAATCTTAAAAAATTAAAGAAAATGTCTACCAAAATTCCTCTTATTACTAAAAAGCCCTTGATAACGACTGGAAATCCTAAATCACATAAAATTATAAATAGATGCTCGGACAACAAAAGTGTTACTTATGAAATCGTGAAAGTGAGATATGGCGCTAGTGCAGTTCTTAACTGTTCCAAGATGATCAAAGCTATGAAATTGATTAACAAAAATGGCAAACTAGTATGGTTCAAATCCAGATGTTACATGATGAATTCACGAGTGAACGTTGCCCCTGTTAAATCCGATATTTCGGGAAAATATGGCGAATATTTGAATCTAACTTTCACTCAATTGGTAGGGGATGATTATATATTTTCCTGCCGATTTAACCCACGGATAGGAAATAAGACTAAAAAAAGCGGGCCGATTGTTAATATTCTAAAATTTAATATCTCTGTCGTCCTCAAAGGTAAATTTTTTTTAAACATTCGAAAGATAATGATTAAAAACTTTCGCAATAAATAAATACCACGTTTAAAGAGAATAGTAGAGAAATGTTAACTAAAATCAAAAAATAAATATTACTATAAAAAGAGTTGATATTCGATTAATAAATTTAATCAAAAATATGCCAATTGGCTTAAATTTAGGTAAGACTTAGAAGCTAATTATTAGCCTAATCAAGTAATTTACAAATTAGCATAAATAAATAAAGTGATTTACTTTTTATTTTTGTCAATATCATCCTTTCCTAAATAGTAAAAATCTTTTTTGTTATCTCTTTTATTTTCAATGATACATAAAGTTTATTTGGATCTTTTTTAATATATGTATTTTTCGTATTATAGCAGATAAAATAATTCCGGTCATTAAGATCAAAGACACGAAAAAGTCACCATCGTCTATCAAGATGGACAAGATTAATCTTAACACAATCAGTTCCGACATGGATATAGGTAAGGTCACAAAGCAAAAGGGTAACACTCATGTTTTGTACGCTGAAATCGGTGAGCAAAAAAGTTTGAATTGCTCTTTTTGGACAAAGAATGATCCGAAGAATGATAAGCCCGGTAAATTGGATTGGAATAAATTGTTACCCGCGTCACCTTGCATAAAGCAACGGCTAAATAAAAAGGCCGTGGTGGAGGGAAAAACTAACAAAAAATTCGAAATATTGAGAATCCCTAACTTCGAAGTCAGTGATTATGGGATATATCAGTGCGAGGGTAGAAAAAATAAAGCGATAAAGTCAAAGTCTAAAGATATATTTGTATCAACTTATTTCGTGATTTTGCCAAAGCTAAAAGGTTATATTATATTTATATTATTGTTGATAAACTCTTAAATCGATCATTACTAAGTAAAACTTATTTATATTCTCTGTTTGTTTTTGATATGCAAAGTGTTGTAACTTTTTTGGTCATCCAGATTGTTCCAACATATAGATCTAATTTGTATTGATTCCTTTTTAATCGTCCAGTAAAGGGTCCCGGATTTTATGGTCGGGTGAAGTGGATCGCTTAGTTAAAAAAGAAATCTTAGAATTATTACTTTGTCCCCCAAAAGTACAAGAGGCCGAGGATCTTATGAGCCCGGGGTTCTTGTGAAGGCTCAAATTTTCTTCTAGAGTTTTTAATTCTAATGGTTTTAAGAATATTTGGCTATACAAAAAATTTGATCTGGATTCCATATAATAAATATATAGATTTAATTTAACCCTTAAAAGCAATATCAAATATACTACAATTTTTCAAAAATAATAAAATAATATTCAAATAATCTAATAACTATCTTATTACAATAGATTATCTTATTCTACATAAAATTATATCTTTATACAAAAAAAATATGTTTCAACTACCTTAAAATAAAATTTTAAAGATAATGAGGATCTCGCGCTAGTCTCCAAAAGTTCATACGCGCCATTTATGCAGATAGCTATTTCAATATTGATAATTATGACCATAAATTGATTTTTAAGTTTTATAATATTATTTTTACATAAATAAATATTTAATAAAAAATATATAATTAACAAAAATTATGAATTTCTTAGTTCATAGTATATAGGTACAACCTTCACCGGGTTTACCTCATTTTTTCCTAAAATTTCCTTTTCGGTAAAAATTATTATAGCTAAAAGTAGAATACATTTTTTTAATAATTCTTTTATGATATAAAAGTTAATAAAATGAGATAGATATTATTTATTAAAAATTATAGTCATTTTGATTATATTACAGTTTGCCTTTTAGGGCTGACGTGATCCCCTATCTCCCTTACCCGTGTTGCCATCCCATTTTAACATGTACTTTAAACGTGAAATTGTAAGTTTATCTATAACATTTTTTTAATCTGAGCTAACATTTATTTACACAGTAAAACTTGTTTAACATTAAAAAATATTTCTTCCTTTTTAACAACCAATGTTTAAAATTAATTTTTAAACTTATCAAATTATTTTTTTTAAAAATTTGAATGTTGGTGCAAAATTTTTGGAAGATTTGAAAGTATAAGTGGTAATACTGTATTGTATGGATAAATCATCAACAAAAAAATAATACTATATCATACTGACCAGGCAAATTTTTTATTTAATCATCTTTATTTCAGATTCTATGAACCTTAAATCTCAATAATGATAGCAATCATAAAGACTTACACTAAAAAATTTAAACTTAAGATCAGCCATGCCCCCCTCTTTTTCTTAAAGCATATGGACGTCTGTAACATTTTTCGAAATGTTACGCGTACAAGTACGTGCGGCTTGCCCACAAACGTGTAGAGGGCTCCTCATATTTTTTAACTTTACATCACAATTAACTTATGTTCCAATTAGATGGAAATGAGGAAAACCTAGCGTAGCTCTCTTGTATTCAACGTCATAGGGCATATGCGCTATATATCACGGATCACGGAATACAAATTATATAAAACTTATTCTTTTTCAGTGTTTAAAGTTAATTCTAAAGGCTACATTTGAAATAAAAATTGAAAGCATTTAAAATTTCTTTGATAATTAAAATTAACAAAAACATTCTTCGTATAAATCATATAAGGTTCTGAATCGAACGGATATAGTTACTCAATGAACTCTAGCCAAGGATTTTACGATAGGAAAGAATCCATGGGTTTAAATCTTAACTCCAAGGTAAAATTGGACTGCACTGTATGGCTCAACGCTTTAATTGGTAATAAACTGAACGAAAAATCGGGTAGCAAAGCCGGTAAGAACTCTCCTAAAAGCAAATACGATCTGCATTGGGAAAAGATAGCTGATATGAAAACTGGTATATCCCCCAAAAAGGGTATTCCTAAATCGTATAAAGTTAAAAAAATCAAGGGACCCATCCTGAACATTGCCCGCATAAGTAAATCCGACTACGGCACCTACCAATGTGTATCTAGCCCTCCCATCTCTTATAACTCTTTAGCGGTATCCAAGATCATAATTGTCGAGTTAAACGAATTCAAATCAGAAAATTTAAGTGATAGTATGGAAAACGATATCGATGATGACTTTAAAGGATTTTCTTTTCCATCTTTTCGAACGCCAGATATAAAATTTCCTAATTTCAAGGACTTTACCTTACCTCCTTTTCCAAAATTCCCAACCTTTCCACCACATTTTTTTCCGAATATCAATGTCCCAGATTCACCGAACGCAAGTTAGTTTTTTTTTAAAAAAAACATTTATCTTCAAAATATTTATTTTTATAATTATTAAATCTATAATAAATAAAAAATTAAATAATAGATCCCTCAAAAATACAAAATAATTTTATTTAATGTTTTATTTCTATTCATTTTATATAAAAAAAAATTACAAAAAGTTGTAAAAGCGTGGTCCCAATTCGTCAAGATAGGCACTAAAGCGATATTAAATTGTTCCACTAAATTTAATAACTTGAACTCTAACATGAAATGGGCTAAGGTAATACCTACAATCTTGAGTGGGTTGTTTTTAATTTAATTTTATAAAACATTCGAACTAAAATTATAGTGTTGTGCAGATTTAATAGAAAACATTTCCATATATTCTAATTTATTTATTTGATTTGTAAAAATTGAAAAGAATGTATAAATAATATTGTTATTTAAACAATTTTTGCAAGTCGAATAATTTTTAGACAAATTAATAATTATGGAAATGTTTTTTTTCCCATCAAATTTGTACAAAACTGTATATTTTGCCATAAATATTATTATATAGGCTTCCCTTTCAGAGGCATAATCTTAATGCGAAACCACTTATAACTGATTAAATTTAAAACACAAAATATTTTTATTGGTACTATTAAAATTTATAAAATCATATACCATTATGTAACAAAAGAGTTTTTTTTAAACATAAGTCTAAATATGAATATTATGAATAAGAAAATCATTCTAAACAGAAAGTACTAAAAATATATATAAAAATCGACTAAATAAATGCGTCTAAAAAGGAATCATACCAGGGGGGAATGGTTTCACAAGAAATGAGCCATAGGCTTCTAGAGAGGTATTTTGAGGTAAAACCCCTTATTGTGATATCCAAGTCGAAGTTATTTATTTCCCCATCTCCTAAAATGCTTAATATGTTGGTGGGAGGCCGGAGTATTTGTTTTTAAAAATTAGTCCCATAAACCAAAGTCAAGTAGAATTATTAGACGGCCAAGAATTCTATACAGGGAAAGTCCCAATCTAAAAGCCAAAGGTAGGTCGCTAAACTGGGGTATTATATGGCCTTTTGATAACGTTGATAAGATTATAACGGGGCTAATGTTTACAATGAGTTATTTCCCATGTTATAAGTTATTTTGCAGCAGTTGATACGACAGTTAGATGTCATTATATAAATACAAGGCAACAGTTGTTTAGCTGAGAGGAGAAGCATGAGGAACTAATGATAACCAAGGCATTCACAGCTCGTTTTGTCTTTCAAAATGATCAAGTTATTATTAAATTATTTTGTGAAAATCGGCATTTAGCGCAACGGGCAATTTATTTACTAGGCAGGAATTAATTTAATATGACATTTATTTTAAAATGTATACCAATATAGGATAAGATTATATCCTTCATTTTGTTGGAGGCAATTTTGTTTCAGTTTATAATTATTTTAAATTCAAAAGGGGACAGATTCCAGGCGACCCTAACGAAGGATTGCTAGAGGGGTAATTTTTATAATTTTTTTCATAAAAAACGTTTTGCAAGATATGTCAAACTAGAAAGGTTTTTAAAAAGATAAACATGATAAGAAATTAGATACAAAAATACATCTTCACACCAAATTTAATGTGTTTATGCTCAATGGTTAAAAAGTTATTCGCGTTAATATTGTAATTGTTTTAACCCGGTCGTCATATTTGATTTAATAATATTTTTAAAAATATACATATAAAATTTTAGAGTAGAGGGCCCATAAATTTTCTTGCGAAAAGGGTTACTAGCCAGCTGAACCTTTTCTTGAAAAAAGGTATAATCCTATTTTCTAATACGGGATGGAGCAGTAAATAAAACTTGGAAATCTGAAATTACATTTTAAAAAGAAATATAACAACGCATGTGCAGTCTTAAACTAGTAGCGGGATGGGCAGGGTTAGCTTATTTTATTTTTTATAAAAAAGATTTAAATAAAATAACCAAACTAGGCGCTAAAATTATTTGAAAAGAAAGAACAAGTGAGTGGGCAAATATTTTTAAACCAATAGGTAAACGAGGATTTTTTCCCGCCAAAATCATAGGCGGGCGGCGAATCAAATTTAAATCAAGGAGGGTAAAGTATAAACCAACTTTTGGAGACCTTTGTATATTCCAAATTTGCGATAATATTTTTATACTTTGAAAAATTAACACATTTATAATTACATGTTTATTTAATTATAAAGATGAGCAGAGTAGCTAACTTTGATAAAGCCCCGTCCAAAAGTGTTCTGAGGGTAATCTCGAAAGTGCGAGACAAAGATTTGGGAATTTACAAATGTTTTTCTGCTTACAGGAACCTTCAGTTTGAAGGATATATCTTGCTGCATAATAACAAGCTTTTGAAAAATGGTTTTTTTAAAAATAAATATATATTATCGATTAAAGTATTAATATTTTTTAAAGTAAAATCCCTAGGTGAAAGACATATTTCTTCTACATTTTTTTATAGCTATAATTCTATTAATCAGGCACACCATTGGATATTTCCCCGTTATTACAAAACCCTCTTCTATTCGACAAAATCTTAATTCGCGTTAAACCTAACTCAGGAATAAGTATAAGTCTTAATTGTCCTTTATACGGTATAAACTTCCCAAATACCCCTTGGAAAAAACTAACGAGTTCGGAGATTAAGGGAGTAGACACTCATAGTAAATTAGTAAAAAGACCTCAAAAACCGATCAAAAAAGCAAAATATCTACCTAATGGATCGCTTTTCATGTCGAATATAACCAAGGAAGACCTAGGACTGTACGCTTGCTACTCACCCTACGACGATAATCAACAAGCGTTCGTGGAAGTAAAAGCTATGAGTTCTAACATCACTTGGAACTTTGAAACTTTCATAAAAGCCATCAGGTTATTGAAAGCGGAACTCAGTATGGGCGAAAACATCATGCAAATAAATATGTTACCGAGTAAATATATATTTCGTCGCATGACTATTGTTGATTGTTGAGGAATTTTTTCAAAAAAAATAAAATGAGCGAAAAGTGAAAGTAATTTTATCTTTTTTAAGTAGCAGAGCGAGTATATTTTACTGGATGGTTTATACATATTTATTAAAAAATAATATGATCAAAATAAAGAACCAATAAACTAGCCAATCAAATTATTTTTAAATAACCGGCGAGTGAATATCACGTTATAAAACGATTGGGCGGTCTTATGGCTAGACCCGCCATATGATATAGGGTTCTAACTCTAACTACCTTCCTTTTTTAGACAAATCGTTTTTCTGTAAAACTGAATGGATATAAATACGGATAAATAGATTAATTAGTATCTAGATATAGATGCACCTAAAATTGATTTTTCCAGATAGATTTAAGATATCTTTTTAATATAATCATTATAAGGTTGCATAATGTCAAAATTGACAACTTATCTTTAAAACTTAAATTAAAGCTTTCATCCCCAAAGCATCCGTTAAACCTTATTTTAGCAAAAGAAAATCGTTAACTGGTACGCTGGAAGGTAAGTAGGGTAATCTTTAAATATAGGAAAATCACAACATTCATTTATAAAATATCATTCAAATTTTGATGGGTGATAAAATTTATATCCATATCCTCTTGGAGGTGTTGAAAAGATATATTAAATTTTTCGATTTTTTTCCTGTTTCTCTTTGGTAACACTTGGAAACTTTGAAAGTTTCATCGACTAATTTTGTGTAAATTCTTTTTATTTTCCGTAAATGAAAAATTTGCAATTTCTTGTATTGATTGTTTTATCTTCTACTTCTTCTTTATCAGTAACATTAATATTAATCATCTAAAACCATATATTATAAAATTGTAATACAAGTTACCAGAGTTGTTAAAAGATACTTCTAAAATGGATCTAGATACAGATACATCGTCTAATAAATTATCTAGATACAGATACAATTTTTATTTTACCCTAATTTAGATTTGCATAATCCAAAATTAGGATTCTATTGTAAAATTCATGAAATGAGGTAAAAAATTTATTGACTCGATATCACATTTATCAAAATATAACTAAAATAATGATTTTTAGATTTTAATATTATAATATATGAAAATATATAATTATAAATAATTATTCAATTTCAGTAATAAAATATTTTCAAAATTTTGGTCATTAAGGCATCCTCATTTATCTGTAAAAACATTTTTAGCGCTAAAAATCTTTCTACCATAGCGCTTGAAGGGATTGTGGTGTTATATTTTATGAATAACAATTTTATATCAGGAAATTTATTTGTGGTGTTAATGTTTTGATTATTTTTATAAATCAAGGATTTTCAACATTTGAAAAAAGCCAGCTATAATTCATCTAAAGTAGTCGGGAAAAATATCATCGGACGTTGAGATTAGTCCAATATTTTCTTTAATGGATTTATTCTCTTTTCCCTTTTTTATTTTTAACAGTGTTTGATGTTTTCTCTTATAATTTAAAATTACAAATGTAAACATTAATTTAGTATCTATACTCTTAAATGTTTTAAAATGTTGCAAGTTGAGGTAATGCTAACTGATTTCGTATTTTTTGGTAGACAAGACAATTTTACTATCAGAGATTTATTTTCATTGGCCATGGAAAAACAACGTCTGAACTTATTGATTATTTTCTTCATCACTATTAATATTAATCTAAATAAATTTTTAAAATTAGTATAATAAAATAAAATTAACCAATTCCATTGAAAATAAAAATGGAAGATTCAGATGTATTGTAATCAAGTATCCGGAGTGAGAATGTGCCGCTAAACCGTTATAAATATCTGAACCGTAACCGAACCGATATAATAATTTTTTAAATGTAAAAAGTTAAACCGGTTACAGCCAAAATAAAATAATTTTATATTTTTTAACATTCTTTTCCTTGGGATGTATTACATATTTTACCATTTTTTATAATTATTAAATGGTCAAAATATTTGTTTAATATCCAAAAAAAGTATGTATTATTTTTCACTATGACTTCAATTGATCCACAATTTTTTAACAGCTTCATATAGTATTAGAGCATTCCTATTTCCTATATTTTAGTATGCAAAATATCTAAATAACCAATTTTTGATTTAGTTGCATTTAATTAATCTAAAAAATCATCAGTTTTAATTTGAATATCCAGAATTTTATAAACTTGCTCTTTTAGTACTTGCGTTTCCCGCAACACAATTTCTGTTAAAAGAGCCTTTTTGGGGTTAAAATTTGTGCAACTAACAAATATGACTTATATCAGAAAATATATTACTTACACGTTTAAATAATGTATTTAGAAATGAGTTATGATTATTGTATATTATTCATAGATACTTATCATAAAAATAAATGAATTTCATCTATTTTATAAATAAGCAATATATTAACTTAAGTGATGGCAATAATTTTAATAAATAATATTCATAATCATTATACGATGGTGTTGCTTCAATAAAAATAATCTTGAAAAAAATTTCTAACCGTAATGAACCTTTAGCTGAACCAACCCGAAACTTTATAAAATTTTTCTTAAAAACCCTAATCGAACAGTAACCATTATAATTTTTTACATACTGAACCATAACTAAACTGAACCGGTATAAATAAAGGTTCGGGTCCCTGATTGTAATATCAAAATTTGTCTGGTTTATTGATAAACTCGGACATAATATTTAATGAATATTTATATTTTTTTTTTATATATAAGTTTTAATATTTTTTTATTATAGTAGTCTTAAAATTTTTCAATATATATATATATAAATTATATGCTCATATAAAATAAATTAAATTTTGCATTCAAGTATATTTATTTATAATATAAAAAAGCGTTAAATAAAAGTATATCAAAATGTATGTTAAAAAGTAACTAAAAACAAATACAGATACCTCTATAATAATATCTCGATATAGATACTTTTTAAAAAATCAATCTTGAAACAGATACCACATTATTATATCTAGATACTTTAACAACTCTGCAATTTACCGTATTTTAGTCATTCATATCCGTAAAATAAAACTTGTTTTTAATTAGAAATAAATAAACTCGAACAGATATCTAATAAATTTATTACAAAAATTAGGATTAAATATAAATATTTTTAATATAGTTAATTAAACGTAAAATAAAATTGTATCGATTAAAGGTATTTATAAATAAATATACCTGGATAATATACATTTTTATCGAGATACTTTTAACAACTCTGATATATAATATCAATTACTCAAGAAACAAAGTTAAACATGACCCAAATAAAGGTGAATCGCACGGTGTTCTTGAAAGAAAGCGAGAAAAAGGTCGTAGCTAACCCCACGTATGTTAAAGAGAAGGACACTCTGGTTCTCAAATGCCCGGCTAAAGTAGCGAAGAATGTAAAAAACGCGAAAATAAGGGTGCAAACTAAGAGAAGTATAATAGAATGGAAGAGAATTTTAGCAGACGGTGTTAAAATGCCAGATATTATGCCCAAGAGAGCCAAGATTACAAATGGCGGATTTACGCTCACTATTCCAGCTATCAAATCATCCGATTACGGAATATACAAATGTTTTAGCGCTAATTCTGAACACTATTTCTTAGTGCATCACAATAATATGCTCAAAAGTAAGCGCAGTAGTTTTTTTTTGCTATTTTAAATAAATAAGTTAAATCTTATTAACTTTATCTATCGTGATGTAATGTCGTGTTATTCTTTCGAGGTTAGCATGAATGACTCATAAGTTGATCGCTACATTTTTGTGATTAACCATTTTTTTTTAAATCATGCATAGGAATCGTGTATATTGCATAGTTTCATAGGTCTTTTCGAAAATCAACGAACTGTTCGTTGTATTCGTATTCATACGAATAATAATTTAGTAAGTTTCGATTCGAATTATTCGTTTTTACCTTATTAATCACATTATCTGAAACATTGATAGGTAGGTTATCGACAAGTGACTAAATTTTATTATAAAACATATTAAATATTCGATCAAATCATTATAATAATTCGATTGGACTAAAACAAATTATTCAAATAATTCGTCAATTATTGTAATTAATCGTATTCAAATCGAATAATTTATTCGAATTCGAACAAAACGAATAATTAAATATTCGTTACTACTAATATTTGATTTGTTTTGAATAGGCATAACCCCGATTAAAAACATACGTAAATAATATTAATTATTTATATTTAAATTCAATTTTTCTTTAAAAAAAAAATAAACCCAAGAACATGGTGCTACCGATCTCGATTTTTAAATATCAAATAAGAGCTTATCACATAATTACAGCAATCATTTTCAATTTTATATTGTATACATAAAATATTAAACATATAATATTATAATATTAAATTTTACCTTCATTTTGTACAAATCACTTTTAAATAACAATATTGGGTAGATATTTTTAAAAAAAAAATGCATACAAGTATAATTTCTAATACATAATTTATTTCACCTTTTTTTGACAATTTGCATTAATTATTTACTGGAATATAAATATATGGATCGAATTTTATAGCGTATAACCGATTTGTAAATAATATTTAAAATCATTTAATGAATTTGTATTATAAATATGTTTTATATAGTATAATTTAATAGGTAATAAAATGAAATCTTCGCAATAATTATTTAAATCCTGACTCTAATTATTTTTTGCGATATATATTATGTTGTACACCTATTTGACCCATATAAAGTGTTGCACGAAATGAAAAAAAAATATATATGATGAAAAGCTATATTTTACATTTGAAGAGGACTAGATTTAATCATTTTCAATATTTTTTTTTAAAAAAAAAATTTAATTGAAAATTACTTATAATCATTGTGAAATTAGATTAGTATTGTAATGCTCGATTTTTTTTAAAAAAAAGACTAACGTTTAGAAAACTTTCTCGTAGATGGCAAAAAAGTTAGGACATCTATTAAAGAAATTTCGAGGCATACGTAATATTAGTTTGGCTAAAATCTTAATTTAAAATTGGTAAAATCGCGAGCCATTTAACAACACTAAATTGGACCCCATAAAATATCTATTGATCTTGATTTGGTAATTATAATTACAAATACCTTCTATAACTACCAAAATAAAAAGACAAAATATATTATTTATAACCTTTATCGATCGTTTAAAAAATAAAGTTTAACCTAACACATATTTTAACCAAAAAAAATGTTTTAGATAAAATAATGGTTTTACAAAAAATTTTGTTTAATCTTAGCCACTTGTGCTTTATCATAGCCAAGTATGGCAGCCAGTGCGTTTATATGAGCATCTTTAACATTCGTTTTCAATGTCCCATTGTTTTTATGGATAGAATCTTTAGGAATATCACTATTTATACAATTCTCTGAAGTGACAGGGTTAGAACTATTGCAATGGTTATGGCTATGATTTTCCTTATGAGAAGCGGTTGTCAGTAAATGAAATATGACATCTTTAAGGAATTTCAGTTTCGTTTCGATTTCAATATTTCTGTCTGACATTATTTCCAAGGTTAAGCATCGTTCGTCCAAAGTTTGGAGGGTTAAATCATTGAGATCGGATACGGAGATAATAAGAGAATTAGTTTTTGTAGACAGGTTCGAGAGGTGAGAGCAAAAGCTTGATTTGGGGTCGACCATTAGAGATTGAGAATTTTGATATGGGTACTCAATATTTGATGAGTAGTGAGGCTGAAGAGATTTGCTGACTTTACAAGGGCCATTACCAAGAAAATATGAATTTTTAACTGTTGTACAATATTTAGATTCTATTGGGTTATTGTTATAATCTTTTATGTGACCTAAGTCATTTGAAACGGGATTTAATGCTAAAGTATCATTACTTTCAGTAGATTTGGAATCACAGAGAGAGCTAGCTGGATTATGGTAATAAGGTAACATAGGATTCTTCTTTAATCTGGCAATGTTAGAAGGCAATAAAGTTGTATTTGATCTTAGTTTGAGAAATACTGGTTGGGTATCTTTCATTTTCTATCAAGTAAATAATTTATTTTATATACTAAAAAAAGTGTAATAAAAAAAAAATATGCTTTTAGGGTCATTCCATGTTGAATCATTCTCCAGGATCTATTGGGATTTGAGCGTAATTTACATAAAACTAAAGTAGGCGCAGTGTTAAATTTTCACAACCTCGCTCTTATATTTTTAAAGATACCAAAGATCGAATTATATAAAATGATCACCTATTTTTAAGATTATTATTTGTTTTACAATAAAAAGAAGATTTACTAAAATAAAAATACAGAATTATAAATAATTATAAAAATTTTAAACTATGGGCAGGTTAAGAAATTTAAGCAATGGGCAGATGGGCTTAAAAAATTTAAATCATTTTAAGTAAATATTAATTAAAAATGGTTCTTATGAACTTTTTGGATATTAAATATTAAAATGTCCTTTTTTGGTATCATAAAACTTTTTTTGTATATTTAAAACTACTTTGATGGAAACAACAAGAAAGAGATTTGCCAAAGCTATCAAGATTAGCAAGAAAAATATAGGCAATTCCTGCAACTAGTGCTTCTTCTGAACGAGAATTTAGCATTGCTGGAATTTAGAACAAAGAAGAACATATTTGAATCCAGAAAATGTTGATTCATTTTTTATTTATATTTTTTCATAAGTATTCATAATTTAAATTAATTATTTTTTCAAGCTTAATATAGTATTTCCATAATTATAAAACTTCTTGTAGAGGTGTAATGCTGAAATAATTTTAGTCAACCCATCTTTTAAATAGATAATACAAACCACCAATCCAAATCATCAAATTATATTGGGGTTAGAGCTTCCTCTTAGATGATATGATGGAAGCTAGATAAGTAGCCGAGAAAATTATTGTGAGATATTAAATTTCTAAAAGATTTATCTTCCATTTTTAATGATACATAAACTTAACTCATATCAGAAAAACATTTAAAATCTTTATAAGAAATTATGCAAATATATTGAAGCCTTGAGTTATTTACATGGCAAGGATGCCATAAAAGAGATGAAACATTTTGTAACTATATAATAAGAAACAGAATGATATGAAGAAAGCAAATAAGATTTTATATATAATCGTCGCACCACCTCAAGTTGGTATATTATATCTTAAAATAATAGTAGTTTGTAATAATATCAAAAATATACTCGTATTAAAAATTTAACTCAAAACTATTTTTCAAAGAAGAAAAAATTAGCTTTCCTAAAAACACGTAAAAAGGAGAAGAAAAGATATCTAATTTATTACATCCAATGAATAATAAGATGTTTCATTTTAATAATAATTTAAATTAGATAGCGTTAAAGAATTTAATGCAAACTGTTACTTATATTTATTATCAAAGGCATTTATTAGTAAAATTTATTAAAAAATAAACTGTAATTTATTATATAACTGTCAAATACGTCTGTAAAAGTGGCATTTTACCTAATATTTTATAATCAATTATATATAATAGAGGATTATTAACAGAAATCTCTTATACTTATTTGGAGCTTGAAAATATTTTTAGAAAGAGGCATGGTAATTAAATTTAAAAATGAATACTATAGTTGATTAGTGATTTTAAACTCGGCTAATTACAATATTAAATTTGTTAATTTTCAATTAATAAATTATTATATTATTTAATTAGGGTTATATAAAAATCTAAATATAAAAGTCAATTAAGTTTCAACTGTTAATGCTAATTTAGTGAGTGATATTGATATTCTATTTTTAATACAAATTTGATTGAAAGCTGACATAGTGAAAATATAATTTATATGTATTAATCTAATCTAATAATTAAAATAGTATTCATTTAATAAAAATTTATATAGTCTTATTAATTTTTAAATAATAAAATTAAATCTATATATTACTTGATAGAATTATAAAAGAAATCGTTAAGGAGGCAATGAAAAAAAATTTATTTTTAGTTCATGGGGATATTAAGGAGCCATTAAATTAAAATTTGCTTCAGGGAGCTATTCAAATTTTTCAGAGTGCTCGAGCTCCTGCGCACCCCTTCCTAGTGACGCCACTGTATCTATCCATGCATTCATTTGAAGGATCTGCATATGGTTGACCCTCTATATTTTCTAAATGGGCAATTAACCATTCTTTTAGCTTTAAATTTTGTGGCAGATTAATAAAAGGCCAATTGAGCTTAAATTATGGGTGAATTATTGATGCCGATATATTATTGTCATCGAAATCTATAATTTTTATTATATGCATATTGTTATGATCTTCATAAATAATAAAAATTGTATTTTTAAAAGAATTAATTACTTCTGAATGCCTCTTTAGGTTTGAACTGCTAATCTTTGAAGAAGATATCTTGTTTTTGCATAAAGAGAATTTTGCACATTGTATGGTTACTTCCATCCATTTCACATAAAGTAAAATACTTATGTAAATTATGAAATGGTAAAAGATTCTCATTCTCACTTATATCTGCTATCACATCAATAGAAGTAGATGTATCATCTTCTAAATTTATAATGGAGAACATTATTAAAACCTAGAATTTATATTATATTATAATATAATTAATAAATAAATAAAACTTGTCCTTACAAAAAAATTGGGATTGTTGAAATATAAAATCTGGTAGAATGGTGGTTTATAAAATATGATGTAGATAGATATTTTTTTTAATTAATATTTAAATTTCAAAATTTATATTTTATTTATTGCTTTTTAAGTAAAAAAAATAATTTTTAAAAGGATTGGGATCTAATATTTAAAAAAATGATCTCGATCACGATCCACATTTTAAGGTCAGGATCTTAAATCCTAGAAAATTGACAAATTTAGGATAGAATCCAGGTTCGGCGATCTTTTGATTTGAAACAAATCTGCCTATATACAATAGAGTGACAACTTATAAATGGTGCCTATGTCTATATGTGTTGAAGATATGTAGCCTTTAAAGTTTTTTTTAATATATTCAATTCATTAGGTAATGACAAGGGCATAATATAAATAAGAATTTTTTTATAAAATAATTAATTATGGATTCTCATGATTGAATTCTTATGTCATTTTCAATTATATCGTTTTCTATTATTCTATTTCAATTGTATTATAATGTATAGTTTTTGTTTAGTAAAGTAAATAAGCAAAAAATAATGTCAGTTAGAGTAAAGCTAGAATTTTAAGTTATTAATTTATATTTTATTGATTAATATGTTTGATTAATTAATTATATTCTATATAAATTAAATTATCTTTTGATTTGAAACAAATCTGCCTATATACAATAGAGTGACAACTTATAAATGGTGCCTATGTCTATATGTGTTGAAGATATGTAGCCTTTAAAGTTTTTTTTAATATATTCAATTCATTAGGTAATGACAAGGGCATAATATAAATAAGAATTTTTTTATAAAATAATTAATTATGGATTCTCATGATTGAATTCTTATGTCATTTTCAATTATATCGTTTTCTATTATTCTATTTCAAATGTATTATAATCCCAAGTTTTTGTTTAGTAAAGTAAATAAGCAAAAAATAATGTCAATTAGAGTAAAGCTAGAATTTTAAGTTATTAATTTATATTTTATTGATTAATATGTTTGAATAATTAATTATATTCTATATAAATTAAATTATCAAATATAAAAATTAAAAAAATATGTATCATTTTTAAATTTAAACTGACTAAGATACAAACCTTCAAAAAAAATTTATCTTAATGATACTTTTCAAAATATTTAATAAAAAATACAAATATGCAACATACAACAATATGTAATAATAGTTTTACCATGCTGTTATTATATTTCAAATATTGAGAATTGTATAAGCCTTTAATATATTTTTCGTAATTGTTCAAACATGTAATATCATTTTTAAATGAGATCAATAAATTATTTATAATATTTTGCTTGGCAGTTAATTCTTTAAATAATAAATGGGTATCTTCTGAAAATAATTATGAAACATATGTAGATATTTTTATTTCAACCTAATTTTGTATAGTTTGGGCAAATTATATCAAGTTTGTTCTTGAGCCTAACAATCTTTAATAAATAGAAATAGAGTTAACTGTTGTATGAATATAGTTGTTTTATTCTACTAATAGAAAATGTATAATAATTATAAATATTAAGAATCAAATGTTGTATGTGTATATTTGTGCTTCATTTTATTAACAGTAAATCTATAATTATCATAGGTTAAAACATACTTCATTTTCTAATTGTTCAATTTTCTGCTTTTGTTTGAGATCTTCTTTTGTATATTCCTTTACTTTAGTTTTATAATTTTTCAGCAGTATATTCTTTCTTTGTAATGGAGTATGATAAATATTATTTTCTAATGAAGTCTGGCAATGACAATGATAATCTGACTTATATATTTGTCCTATAAAATGGTCCTATAAAGAAAAACTCGTATATTTTTACTATCATGAAATGTCAAGGAATTAGATGATAAATTGTAAATATCAGATTTATTAATATCCAGAGATTCTAGGGACTCGCAATTGTTTAATGACATCAATATGCTTGTTTTGTGACACGAAAATTGTTACATATGATTTTAAGGATAGATATAGACAAGGTTAGGTATTTGTAAAAATATTTTAAAAACATCGTATTTGAATTGTCGACTCAAAACTGACTGGTTACTAAATATTTGAATGATCAAAGGTGCTAGTAATATCCCATAAAAAATGTTCATTTATATGCATATAAAACAAAAATTGGATGACGCCAGCAATGTAGTATTTATCATATGGTCTGATTATCCGTCCAACAAATTTTAAAAATATTTCTTTAGATTGTTTACAAGTAATTACAGTGATATAGAGCAAAAGTAAAGATTTCTAGATGGATATTACTATGAATGCAGTATTTAGTCCTCGGTAAGTTTTTCGTTAGCAATCAGTCAAATCACATTATTTTAAAGATATTTTTTATGACGTTTTACACGTGATTTTGAAATGTCAACAATTTTTGACTCCACCTATTTTAATATGTCAAAGAAACTTATCTTTTTTTATTTTTTATATATATTTACACCAAAATATTAAAAAAGCGCTAATCAAACCAATAATCATTCGAGTTTCCTAGTATATTTTAATATTTATGTATTTAACGCCCCCTTTGGATATATATTTATTAAATTTGAAAATTATGTTTGAGTTATTATTAGCTAGCAAATATATTAATATTAAATAAAAATAGATTTATATGTAAATTAATATTTAATATCAAGTTTTATTTGATAAAAAATTGTTAACAAAGATTGTTGTTTTAAAAAAAAATATTATATAATATGCATATTCAAATTCTTTTCAAATATTTTTTTCAAAATATTTAAACAGCTTTTATAATTAGTTAAGAACTCATACCATTCCATATCATAGGTGTACTTTGATATTTGTTTAAATAAGAATTAATAATTTTTTCTTCATAATTTGAAAATATTGATGGGTTATGCAATGTTATGTTTTAAATAACTGGAGTTGTTATTTATAATGATAATGAATTGCCTATATCTTATATAAATAAATCCGATATAATTTATAATTGTGTTATGTATTTAAATGAATATAATGATATGATTAAGAAGTTCAGTCAAGGTAAAATGTTTAAAATCCTAAAATTTAATAACATAAACAGTTATTATGTTATTTATTAGATAAAACAGGAAGAAAATTGAAGAATTTAGCATATTTTTTGAAAAAAAAAATATAAAAATAATTAAATATTATATCTCAAAATTTTTATTTAAAAATTAAAATTTTAATCAAGGATAAATTTCAAAATGAGGGAGATCACTGCATGTAAACTAATAAATTTCGGGAGTTTCCCGCTAATGGGTGGAGATTTGGCAATCTTGGTGTCAGTGGCAGGGCCTAGTTTAAGGAATAAATTTTTAAGGGCATATATGAATTTAATTTTTCTTTTATCTCTGTTACCATAGTATTTATTTTTTTACTTCTATAGATTTTAAAGAATATCATATTCTTGAAAGAGCAATAAATAACCTGTTTAATTTCTTTTTACAAAATGATTCTTATTTTGTTTTATTTAAAAAAAAAAAATTTAAATCAATAATCTCTTAACTTTATACAGTATTTTAATTTAATATTTATTTCTTTCTTCATGCTCCTACCCCCCCCCCTCCCCCTACCTTACTTTCTCCTTATACTTTTTATAATATATAATATAAATATTATACAGCCTCTTATATTTATTTGTATTAAATATTAAAATAATTATTCTTTAGATGATTAATGTAAAAAATATACAATAAAATATTATATTGAGTTAAAATATTATATTATATTAAACTAGTTTTGGTTTGACACTTAGTCTATAGATTTGGCAGACGAGATTGACCTATTTAGTTGGGTTGTGTCTGGCTTTTTTAGACCAAAAACCAGAGTCGTGGTCGTCTAAAACAAGCCATTTAGCCACACTACCATATATAAAATGATTCTAAGTTTACAAAAAAATATTATAAAAATATTTTTAATTAATGTAACTGAAAATCTGAATGCTATTGTAAGAGAGGACTATAGTAGGACAGCAGGTAAGAATTGCGCAAACCACTTTGTTATAGTTACTTTGTCAGTCAAATTAAAGTCAAGGATAAGAGAATATATTAAGTCAAAATTTCGCATGAGCCCCCCTTTTTCGGATTATTTAAAAAAATATTATTTAGTTTTCTCATTTAAATTACCTCTCTAATTATTATTTTTCATATTTCTACAATTATTTTCAAAATTCAACATCATTATAATTTACAAATAATAATTTTTATATGCAAAATTTATTGTGAATGAAACATATTATTATTTAATATACAGTATATAGCGTGCATCATTCATCTTCATCCTTTTTCTTTCGAGCTTTCTTTTTAATATTATTTTTGTGGGAACTTTTTGGCCTTTTATATATTATATTTAAAAAGGCATGAAATAAGATTATAAGATAATATTTATTGTTAACATATCAAACTAAAATCCAAAAATATGTCTCATAGTTATAATAATTATCGATTGAGAATGGTAAGGGGGAAAAAATAAGATATTACGTTTAAATTATTTCATATATGAGCTATTATTCGAATAATTAAAAAAAATTAAAGTCACGTTACTAGAGGGGCCAATTAGTTTAATCAATAAATTATATTTAAAACACATTTGCAAACGTTAAAAAAAATCGATTATCGGTAAATACTTGTATTTTTCTTCTAACTCAGAATCACCCAACTCCATCATGATTGCCTCTTCTTCGCTATTTTCACTCTCGTCGATTTGACCTAGGTGGAAAAAAAATATATATTAAAATAAGACCAAAGAAAAAAATGTAATAATTACATTTTTTCTGAGAAAAAATAATATGATCAAATATGAATGTAAATAATTATCCCTCAACAATCCCCCTACTACTCTCCCTCCCTGCCACTATACAATATATCACTAATAACAAGAATTTGAAAGAAAAATCGAGTAAAAGTTTTCTTTTTTCTTTTATTTTAAATAATACCTATATATACAAATTTTTAGAAAAATAAAACATTTTTATATTTAAAAAAAAATAAATAACCAAAATTATTTTTTTTATCAAAATCTAACATAGCCAAAAGTTTACAAAAATGTGGACCTAAGGACCTCCAAAAAAAAATCATAGAAGAAAACCCACATGGCAAACTGGCCAAGCCTTTTGAAAACAACACCTAATGATCATATATGAATATAAAATTTTGAGGAAAAAAACTTTGCAAAAAAAAATTATAATGGGCCAGGCCAATTTTTTAAAAAAATATAAAGGGCCGAGCCTGATACGGGCTGGGCCGCACAACTTGTGCAAATTTTTTTATCGAGCTGAAGCAAACCGGACTTTATAGACCTTTACTTTGTACCAAAAAATTATGAATTATTTTATAATTTTAGAAACCTATCCTGAAATTCAATCCTTTTATCAAAACGATATCATTGGCTTCATCGGGCTCAGTATTTCCTTTATCGCTAACACTTTTCTTATTGGTTTCTTTGCCCCTATTAGATCGATCTAATTTATTTCGCTTCTTTTCGTCCTTCTCTTCCAAACATTTTAAATCGGGAATGTCACTGAACCAAGCGTTGATATATTTAGATTTTATTGGTTTACCGATTGATTTTACTTTTTCTTCATTTTTAACGTTATTGAGAGACGGGTCTAGGTTGCACGAATTGTTGAAGCTATTTTCTAAAGTTGATTTGTTGACTGTTTCATTTGTGTGTTAAAAAGTTAGAATTTATGTAATAAAAATGATAAAATTTATAGATTATCGATGGGACCTTATATCGATCTACCTATAATTAAATTACACGTTAAATAATAATTATATTTTTTTTTAAAAATTGGAAAAGGTTTCACATACAATTTTACTAATGATGCAAAATGGTTCTATTTGAGCCGATTATTAACAATGGTTAATTCAGTATTTTATCTAGAAAAATATTAGGCAAGTCTGAAGATTTTTCACAGAGATAACACTTAGATTTAGACATAGGAAATCTCGAAGCATAAACAATTTTTTTTGGCTAAAATATCGAGCTACGGCTTAAATGGAGCAATTTTGTTTCACTATATTTTACTATCGACTGAAAAGTTTCTTTCAACCCAACGTTTCATTAACTCCGATTCTTCCGAACTACCATGCCAATCATCTCTAAGAGTATTCTCTTTTTGTAGAGCGGATGTAACCATGTCTTCAAACCATTTTGCCTTTTCGTAAGCCTTTAGTGAGTATTGAGTTATCTAGTGGGATATTTTTTTTTAAAAGTTTAATACTGTTTTTGGCAAGTATTCAGGTGAAATAATCAATAGTATTAGATCTATTAGTTTAAAAATATCTAAAATGCAGAAAGGACAAAATCAGATTAGTTTAGATATGAGCTTATAAAAATAGATTAAAAAGTTCCCGAAAGTCTAAGAAAAAAATCAATCATATATTTTAACCTGCCATGATAAAAGGAGGTAAGGTTATATCACATTATAATTTTCTTAAGATAATATTTTCAAAAAAAAATTAAATATATTTTACACATTTTTCCCTTTTCAGATCTTATTAGAGCTAACAGGTAAATATATAGTATGAGGATAAAATAATATACCATATGTTTATCTATACGATACCCGCAGTGCATCCTATTGCTGCTACCACTGCTATTACCATCAACGTTCCCGTCCGGGTTAATATTTTGAACTTTGAAATAGCAAAGCTCTTTGTACAAGTTTACGGCTAAGGTGAGTTGAGCGGTGCAATTACTTCTCTCTATTGCCGTCCCGTCTATCACGAAGGAGCCAGGATTGCGCGGGTTGTGGGAAGGAAATATTAGCCAGGATATTAAATGAGGGGAATGATTGAAAGACAACGGGATGGGTTGTCTTTCGTCTGAAGGGTAAATGATCAAATCTGTACCACTTAAAGAGCTTTGAGGTAATCTTATAATTAAAAAAAAAATTAAATATTACAAAATTGGTAATATAAGTGCATAATAGTATGGGTCTATATTTGTATCGGATTTTTATTTTTTGCTAAGGCTATGACCTAAATACATTTGAAAAAAACTTCAAAATTTGAAATTCCTACCAAATTATTTTTAACTTCTTATTTTAATTTAAATACTTCTTATTTTAATTTAAATACTTCTTATTTTAATTTAAATACTTCATATTTTGATTAATATAACTGTATAATTCTTATTATAATTTAAAAAATATAAATTAATGTTACTTACTTTTTTTTTAAATTTCACAACTTTATAAACTATTTCACCTTCTCGCGGCTTTCTGTTTTTGGGTTCGGTTCATAAGAAATAATAAAATCGGTTTAGTTTGAAGTTCTAAAACCTGGTTTAAACTATTTAATTTTTTTTTAGAATTATGTAAAGAGAAGGCACTTAAAATTTCATAGCTATTCCCCCCAAAATATATATTGATGTACAATTATAACATTTTCAATATTCTCTTTATAAAGGGGTGAAAAATTAATGGTTGAAAACACTTTTATAGGCCAATATGAGTAGTTGGCAGGGACAAATAGCAATATATAAAAATATATAATGATACCATCAATCATAATCGATTATTAATCTTTAAAAGAGTTAAGATATAATAAGTTTCAACCTGGTTGAGAGACCTCTTTAGAGGTTTGCTTCAGATTCAGGTGACAAAATTTTTAAGGGTTCAAATATGCTATTTTTAATGGATCAGGTTCTGTAAATAATAACAGTTAATACTGGTTCAGTTTGGATCTCTAATTCTACGTGATATAACTATTATAATATGGCCATTATATTTTATATACAAATATAATAATTTCATAATTCTTAAACATAGCTATAAAAAAAATATCGTTATTAATAACCACACATATTATAGTTAGGGCTGTGTTGCTATTAAATATTGGACAAATCGGCACCAATATTTCGCGTTTTCAAAAAATATTGAATCGAGCCAATATTTTTAAACAAACTGATACATACTTTTATTGTATTGGGTTGTTTTATGATTGCATATAATATAATATATAAATTTTTAAATAATTTTATAATAAATTAATGAAAAGAGTGAAAATATAATTTATTTGGTGTAATATTTTAAAAAAATCGTTTTGAAAACTATTTTTTGTCATATTAACTGCAACAATAAAAGGATTTTAAAATATCTAATGAGTAACGTTGTTAATGGCCCATTTTAGCCAATTTTTATAAAAGATTCAAAATTTAACCAAAAGTAAAATCAGCTTATTTTCCATTATTATTTATCTTAGTAATGGATGTGGTGGATAGAAAAATGCATAAAGGACTTCCCTGGGAGCTATTATATGCAGATCTTGTATTAATGGCAAGCAGTGAGGAAGAATTTAGTGATAAAATTGGTATATGTCAGATTATGGAAGCAAAGGGCTTAAACATGGGCAATGAAAGTGACCCATGAAAATTAGAATGAACAAAGATGAGGATGATTAGATGGATGTGTGGGGTAGAGATCTGCAAAGTTAGGCCCGGCCCACACCTGGCCCGGGCCTAATTCTATTTAAAATAATCAGGTTAGGGCCAAGCTGGGCCTAATATTTTTTAAAAAAACTTGGGCCGGATCCAGTCGGACTTTGGAATTTTTTTTAAATATATCTAAATTTTTCAATTTTATATTGAATTTTTTATGTCAAATAAAAATATTTGATTTTATTTATTGAAACTAAACGACATATAACATATGTCTTTTATTTTGAGTAATTATAAAAATTAATTTCTATATTTAAATAAATTCGGTCCGAGCCAGACTGGTAAATTTTTTTAAAAAAAATTTCGGTTTCGGGTCAGGCCGGCAAAACATTTTAAAAAAAATTTCAAGTTCAGGCCAGGTTGTCAAAACTTTTTTAAAAAAATTTTGGGTTGGGCCGGGCTTGAAAAATTAGGCCCGATGTAGATCACTAGTGTGGGGTATCTCTGAGAGAGAGAAAAAAACTAGCAAGGTATTGCGAGCAAGATTGGGTAGAGAAATGATTGGAGTGGTAATGCAATGAAATAGACTTAGATGTTTTGGGCATGTGGAATGTATGACAAAGATGATTGGTTAAAGAGATGCACTTTGATGGAAGTAGGAGGATCAAGACCTAGAGGAAGGCCCAAGATGACATGGATAAATGTGATAGCAGTGGATATGAGAAACATGAATCTTACATATATTGATGCTCTGGATCATCAAAATGGAAAAGAAAAATCAGAGGGAAAACTTGCCTACTAGAGTAAACCTGGAAATTGGCATAAAACGGAGATCTTTTTTTATACAGATAGATAATAATATTTTGTTTAAAATCCTGCTTTAGCTATTTTTAAATATCAGCCAAATAAAGCTATGTAACAACACTTTATTGGCCCATAAACATTGCAAATATTTTAAATAATATTGTAAACTTTTAGAAAATATTTAAAAAAACTAATCACTCAGTTATTTTTTAATAAAAAATATTAATATTTTATTAATATTTTTATTACATTCATAATGATGATAAACAATAGTCATTGTTTTTTATTAATATCATAAAATATAGAATTTGTGAAAAAATTTATAGATTGTCACAGCTCTAATTATAATTACAAAAAACTTTTCATAAATAAAAGGGTAAAAAAATTAATAATAGTAAACCCCTATAATTATTTTAAATATATTACCCTAAAAAATATCATAGTAATACAATTAAAATGATTGATTATGTTAAATATTTTATAAGAAATAACCTAAAATGATGAAAAGCTATATATGAGGCTAAGTACGCACAATCTATAATATTTCCATCATCATTCAAAAGATGTACATTAAGCTGAATCTGCCAAACCTTTTCTTCAGCTATTAAACACAAGGATTCTAAATTAAGTGTATTGTTACTTTTAAAAACTTTTTCCAACACTCTTCTAACTTCAACACTATTCCTATAAACAAAAACAAAATAAATATATAAGTAAAAATTAATAAAACCTTTTATCATATTCAAGTGCATTATTAGTGAAAGGAGAAATAACTTCTATCTTTAATTTACCCTCACTAGTTGAGGCCATAGCAGGTGTTGTAATGTGGCATGATATCGATGACAAAACTCTAATTTTATTATTCAAAAATGAATATAAACATTCAATAAACCTGGTATTTCCAAATGTAACTTGACAAGAACCCCTTTCTGCCCCAAAATTTATATTTATATGTCTATATTCATCTTTTGTTCTACCATCAAGTCTCTTAATAATAAAATAAATAATAATGGAAAATATTAAATACCTTATCAATATCAATTAATTCCTGAATAAATATTCTTTGGGAATTAACGACCATAATAAATTAAACCGGTACCTTAATGTTTCAAAAACATATGTTTAAATTAAAAGCAAACCATTTTTTTTTATTTTAAATGGTTGTAATACTTCATGGGCAGCAGACAATTACTATATGTCATTGGCAGCAGATGATAGTTGTTTAAAAGTCTAGATTATATTAAAAATTATATCAGTGATGAAGGTTACATAGGAGCAAGGGAAGTATTGCTTCCCTTGAAATTTTTCCTAAAATATTTTTAAATAAACTTAATTAATCTTTATGTTATAAGAAACTAATTTCGTTAAAAAATTAATAAAATTTTTGAAATTATGAAAATATTAATATTATTTTTACTACGTTAAGAAATATAAAAAAAATTTGCGTCTAAAGAATTACAAGTGATAAATAGGATTAATTAATTCATACATATGCCTCAATTGATTATAGTTTTTAAAAACCACATAATGCAATAATATAATTCTTAGCAACTCACATTGACAAAAGGTTATCAAACTAATATAAGTCTCTGTTACCATTTTACAAGTTTATAGAATGGACTAATAAGGAAAAATTTATAGGCCTAAACCAAATCAACAATTCTTGAAGAAGAGAGTATAAACGACCAATCCAAATCATAAAACTATTAAGTGGTTATTCCCTTTAGATGACATGATGGTAGCTAGATAAGTAATCGATAAAATTATTGTGAGATATTAAATTTCTAAAAGATTATCATCCATTTTAAATGATATATAATATATAAACCACTCCACAGTTGACCATTATTGTTTATCTAAAATATGCAGTGTCTACATGAGCGGGGGGGGGGGGGGGTAGGAACAGTTTGCATCCTAATATCTATAAAGGGGTAGGGGGTAGGTGGTAGGGGTGAGGTAGGCATTTTGGGGGGTAGGCTATAATAATCTAGAAAATTTTCCATTACATTTTTAAATTATCTATGGATAACATTTTGGTATTTTTAGGGGGGTAGATATATATTTTTGAGGGGGGTTTGCATCCAGTGTATATACTGTCATGTAGACGCTGAAAATATGGAATCACATGCTCTCAGACGTTGTAGTAATAATCTTAAATTACATAGCAACACAAATAATAGATGCTGGTTAATTTGCAATAATAGCCATGACACTCACGATGTGAACTAGTATCAGAATTCATTATGTTGGATACATTGATAAAATAAAAACATTAAAAATCTTTGGAAGAAATAATTCTGCATATATTGATGCCTTGAGTTATTTACACGGCAAGGATGTCATATTAGAAATGAAACATTTTGTAACAATAAAATAAGGACCAGAATGATATGATGAAACAATTAAGATTTTATATATTGTCGCACCACCTCTAGTTGGTGTATTATATCTTAAAAAATAAGTAGTTTGTAAAAATATCAAAAATATGCTTGTATTAAAAATTAAACTTAAAACTGATTTTTTTCAAGTGAAAAAAAGCTTTCCTAACGTAAAAAAGAAAAGAAAAGATATCAAATTTATTAGATCTATTGTAGGATGAATAATAAAATGTTTAATTTTTAATATTATTTATAACAAAATAGATGGCGTTAAATACTTGAAAGCATATTGTTACAATATTTATTATCAAAAGCATTTATTATTAAAATTCATTATAATATTAGCTGTAATATATTATAACTGTCAAATACGTCTCTAAAAGTGGCATTTTATCTAATATTATATAATCAACTGTATAAAATAGAGGAATATAAACTATATGTCTACTTACTTTTTATTATACTTATTTGGACTAGTGTTGTTAAATAGTCGAGTTTTTACGACTCTGAACTCAAGTCTGTGTCGCGAAACTCATTTCAAATTGAGCGGCTCAATGAGCAGCATGAGTCGGCTCGATGAGTCGGCTTCAGAGTCCCTCTATATATTATACTCATTAAAGTTGTTTACTTAAAGCCGACTCATCGAGCCGACTCATGCGGCTCATTGAGCCGCTCAAATTGAAATGAGTTTTGCGAGTTAAAACTTGACTACATTTTAGGCTAAGTCGACTCGACTTAGCCGTTTAACAACACTAATTTGGACCTTGAAATATTTTTAGGAATAGCTATGATAATAAAATTTAAAAATAAATATACAGTTGAGTAGTCATTTTGAACTCTGCTAATTAATATTAAATTTTTTAGTTTTCAAGTAATAATGATTATATTTATTTAATTAGGCTTATAAAATTATCTATATTATAATTTCCGATGTCCTCACTACGTCATCGTGACGTCATGTCATCGGTACTTATTTTTATTTTTTTTATTTGTTGATTTTATTTATTCATTTTATACAAACAGAGGATCCTATAACTTAAGTTTTCTATGCAACTGTAGGAGGCCATATTAAAAACAATTATCAAAGTAATACATTATTTACTAAATATTCATAGATTAATTGGTAAATCAGAGATTTATCATTCATTAATTATAAATTTAATATCTCTAGAGTTGGGAAATTTTTTTCAAAATTTATGCAACTGTAGGAGGCCATATTAAAACTAATTGTCAAAGTAATACATTATTTACTAAATATTATAAATTATTATAAAAAGCCCATCAACATTGATGGGGAATGAGATATTTATTCATTTTTTTACGATAGATCTCATGCCAGGTCCAAACTCACAATATTAGGAAGCATGTAATTATAAAAAAGTTTAAGCTCAACCCTTAATAATTTGTAAAAGATATTCCCATTTCAGGTGTAAGCTAATAAATTTTGAGGTTCCAAGCCCAGTCGTATCCAATATAATTTTGAAAATTTTTTCCCATCTCGGAGATGGTTAAATTTTTAATTGATTTATCATCACCTGAAGAGGAAATATCTGATTTACCAATTAGTTTAAGATGTAAAAAAAACATTTTTGAAGTTATTTCCAATAACACGAGGTAATATTTTTTATTTCTTATAATAATATTAGGGCAGACTTTATTTTATCATGATTATCTAATAAGTGCTTTGTCCAGGCTTTCTCAGTTTCCCTTATTACCAATTCACATGTTTTTTTTGTATATATAACTAGGAGTTAACTCATAGATTAATTGGTAAATCAGAGATTTCTCATTCATTAATTATAAATTTGATATCTCTAGGTTTGGGAAATTTTTTTCAAAATTAACTGTAGGAGGTCATATTAAAACATATTGTCATGTCCAGGCTTTCTCAGTTTCCCTTATTACCAATTCACATGTTTTTTTGCATATATAACTAGGAGTTAACTCATAGATTAATTGGTAAATCAAAAATTTCTCATTCATTAATTATAAATTTAATATCTCTAAGCTTGGGAAATTTTTTTCAAAATTATTATGGGTTGGACTGGGTTTAAAAAATATTTCTCAAAATTAATATTGGCTTGGTTTTCAAAATTATTAGGGTTTGAGGTGGGCTTGAGAAATTCTTTTTAAATTATTTAGGATGCTTGAAAATTTTTTCCAAATATTGTAGACTTGAATCTATATTGGGATTTTTTAATGTTAAATGTTAGTCGTATGATAATATTTTTATGAAGAAATATATTTTACCTGTAGACAAATTGGTAAATCAGAGATTTTAACTTCATTAATTATAAATTTAATATCTCTGAGCTTGGTTTCAAAATTATTATGGGTTGGATTGGGTTTAAAAAATATTTCTCAAAATTAATATTGGCTTGGTTTTTTAAATTATTAGGGATTGAGGTGGGCTTGAGAAAATTTTTTAAATTATTAAGATCTTGGATGCTTGGAAATTTTTTCCACCATTGCTCTATTATCCCTGCTGATTATTTTGTATAACGCAAAAAAAAATATACATAGTACATTATTTTTATTATAAATAATTTTATATATGATTTTATATCTATTCCAAAAAATCGAATATTTTTTTATAATTTAAATAAATATATATTATTTTAAGCATCCTACGTATTTTTAAGGCTATCCATTTTGTCGGGCCGCACAATATGCCCTTTTATCTCTGATGAATATTTTATCTAACTGAAAATTATACAAAGTACATTTATAAAATTTAACTAAATTAATATAAAAATTTTTATGGATCCTACTTTTTTAAAAGCTTACCATTTTGTCGGATCCACTATTGCTCTATTATTCTTGCTGATTATTTTGTATAATGCTCAAAAAAATATACATAGTAAATTATTTTTATTATTATTATTTTTATATATGATTTTATATCTATTCTAAAAAATCATTATATATTACAATATTTATTTTTATTCAATTAAAATTATATATTTATTCTTAAGGTTCCTATCTTTTTTAACAATACTCCTTTTTATTCTTTCAATAAAAAATACTTAACAGGGTTTTCTATTTTTATGATTTTATATTTATTCCAAAAAATATACATATTATGGTATTTATATATTATTTAAATTATTCTATACCTATTCACAAGGATCCTATTTTTTTTTAAGTTTGCCAATTGATCTCTCCGAATGGTATTTTATTTTATTCCTACCTTATAAAATTAACTTGAGAATTATTTTTTTTTATTTTAGAAAACTATCTTGTTGATTGATTATATATTTAAATAAATTTAAATTTGAATAGTTAATTTTAGTTTTATTTGAATATTGTTTATTTTTAAAATATATTAACGTTGATTGTTTAATATGTTCAATTAACTTTTTATATATATACTATGTTTTTAGATATAAAATAGAAAATAATAATAATAAAATTTGATTTAAAAAAAGAAGTAATTTAAATAGTTTCTTAAATCTAAAATACTTTCTTTTATGGTGCCCCGGTTACGGTGGTACGTTTTTCGTTTTAAATTAAAGTTAAATGATAAAAGTTTTAAAAAAAAATTAAAAAAAAATTAAAAAAATATCCTTACCTTGATTTCTTTTGTAAAAATAAAAAGTAAACGAATTACTTATCAAATTCGTCGGTAGATATTGGAGATGATAAAAGGACATATAAAATTTTTTTGACTTTTCTTTTCGATAGTCAAAATTTTATAAAAATTTACAAAATTATAAAAGGTAAAAAAAAATTTATTTAGAATAAATATAACTTGTTAACTTCTTGTTTCTTTTATGGCGCCCTGTT